TTCAATAGAATATCATCAACATCAGGAACTAAGGGGAGAATGTTCGTTATCAAACATGTGCGAGACACAGAAGAAGATCACTCCTAGAAGCTCGGACCATTCTGTTGTCGGTTCAGCTTTATTTTTAGGGACGTTTGAAAATTGTAATTTTTACTTTGGAGATAAAGTTTAGTTCACGGGTATTTGTTTTTATTCAGTTGTTTTTTGTGGTTTAAACTTGAAAAATGTCAACGCGAGAGAATAACAATTTTATAAAAATTAACTTAGCGGGCATTAAGAGCGGGCATTATGAGCGGGCATTATAAGCGGGCGTTATATTATAATGCCCGCTAACAATGCCCTGCGGTTGTTATGGATATTATTATATGTTTCATCTCTAAGGTATTATGAGCCAATAATGTATAGGTGAAACATAAAATAAATTAAAATTTGAAAACGTTTGATTTGACAGGTTAAAGTGCAAATGCAAATTTGTATCTTTGTAAATTGTCTATCCAATGACGTATTAATATACAGGTACTTCCATTTACAAAACGAAAGTTATATTGCGTTAAATTTTTTTAAATTGAAGTCCACATTGTTAACAGCCTGTACAATCAATTGATATTTTGGTTCAATAGAACTCTTAACGGAAATGTGGTGATTGGAAAGAGGTATTTTTTTGTATCTTTAACTGCTTTTTTTGCATCTAAAATGAATTTTTAGATATGATGTTTTTAAGCAAAATTTTAGTAAGTAGTAAAATGGCGATAATCTGCCAACATTGCAAGTAAGAAAAAAACAATTTAGGGTGCATATGCAGCGTTTCAAGCTGCATTCCATGAGCTAATGAAAAATGATTAGTTCTATTTAAAAAATACACTTTAATCTTGCTTCGCTTTTCTGAGACACTCTGCTTCATCTAAGATATTTTTACAATGTGCGCACTTTGTGCGTCAACAACTTTTATATGAAACTATTTTTCGAAAGTTCAACACCATCGGAAATAATGGACTCTGTCGCACTAAAAAAACACTCTGTATATTATCAATGCCATTTTGATAATAAATCGATATTTATAGAAAAACAGTTTTTATATAAATAATTCACGTAACAAAGATTCTTGTAGGAAGTAAATATTTAATTTGCACCAGAAGCCGGGCTTCTTAATTGCTATTTGCATGAATTAACAAAAAATAGATGGCGTATTTTACGTTTAGCCCTCTTACAATGACAAGCAGGACGTTGAAGAGTTTTCTCATTTGATCCATATTTCGCACAAATGTCCCTCTTAGCTTCATAGTTTATTTCGGCAGATGCTGATAGCGTAGCTCATGCAGAAGAACTAAAATATAATTGGAGTACAGTACCATTGGCAGAGCTTAATGACCAAGACAGGCTGGTACATCATCGAATAATGCGATTATGGGTAAATTTCGTGAAATATTTGTAAGTATCGCTGAAATGACAGATAAGAGCTTTCATAAATTTTGCATTTATACTCATCAGCATTCCAGCTAATGCAAACATTTCAACTAACAAGTTTTTTAAATTATCAGTAAGCCGCCGTTTGAACTAGAAAATGATGAAACATTTTTTTTATCGTATACTCAGTTATACTTGTGGATAGAGCGGCATGTGCCCTGCGAATGAACAAAAACAGTACGTTAGGAATCACTTGAATTGGTCGTATTTTGTTCAATAGGCCTATTTTGCAGAAACAAAAATATAAGATGGCAGTTTCTAAATATAATTTCCATAGTTTTCTTTATTATTTTATGTGAATTATCTGTTTTATTTGTAAATGGCAACAGCTCGAATAGATGCCTTTATTGAAGTTGTTTTGCGGCAACTTTTAATGGTAAATAGTTTGAAAAATTGAAAATCTGTCACTTTGCAGATACGTAGTAGCATCATCTGTATTATACGACATAATATACATGTATACCTAATATACCATAAGCGAAAGATAAGGAATCTTAGTTTGCAGAAATAAAGTGTACCCACTTTAAACAAAATAATTATTTCAGTACTTACGTTTGTCCAAAGGAAACATTAATACTAACTGGCCCCAAGCGTCTTTTTTTACCAAGTGTTAGAGCCACCTCCTCCGTATTCCATTATCTGTTGGTGACGTCTATTCGTCAATCGAATATTTTAAAAATGTGTTCTAAATACTTCTTTAACCCGGCATTATTTTTGCAGTGTATTAAGCAACAATTTGATTTTGAATTTTAGAAATCCGACGCCAGTGAACGACGATCTTCTTCAGAATGTAACGTGGCAAAAGGTCTCTGAGGATAGCTATAACTTCTTAAATATTAACGGATCTCTTAGCTTGGAACAGAATCCTAAGGGCGGCCATTTCATAGGGTGGAATAGCTTATTCGAAGAATATGCTCAAAGGCCATTTAAGACCTACTAAAAGTTAACATATGCTGGATGTGAGCACTGGCAGTAATTAAATCAATGTTGTACTATTTTCTTTTTATTGCACAATCAATTATTTATTATTATATTTGAGAATTTTCACAGCATGAGACAGATTAATTATTTGCGGAAAATTATTTATTATTGGTAAGTAATTATAAGTGAGTTTTAATCACTGGATAAACGGAAATTGAATTCAAAGCTGATGGACGATTGCGACTTGGAAGAACACACGTATTGATGGGAAACCCTAACTGTCATAGTTAGCGTTTCTATTTTAAGACATTCAATGTTTCTCTGAATTGAGCGATAGCTCTGCCGAAAACCCGGCGAAGTTCAAAAACAGCGTCCAAATTATATGAAGCTTACTTCCATCGATTCAATTTAAACCATTCAATCAATCATACCCATAACCAAGATATTTCACTTAAGATTAACATTTTTTTTCGCAGGAGCTTTCGGCCACAATATTGAGAGTCATATGCGTTTATTGATGAGATAAACTAAGCAATATTGAAGAGTCCACTTAATGCTAATTAGCAAAATTAAACCATATTTTACTGCAGCAGGAAGCAAATAATTTTAGTTAATTTCCACATTATATCTTCGATTGTATCAAGAATTGTTGACTGTGACACTAGTTATAATAATCATATTCAATGCCTTCTATTTTGTGCCGAGACGTTGCATATAGAAAGACTACAGCAATTTAGAGCTCCGAGAGAACATTTAAAAGGAAAACAAAATAAAAGAACAAATAATGCATGACATCAAAGCGAAACGGAGCTTTTTCTATGTGATGTTCTGCTGTCTTTCCGGGTCATCTGGCCCAGTCTGCTGCAAATGAAATTAGAGAGAACGTTGAGGAGGAATAGCCAGTCAGAGGAAAGCACGTTTCCAAATGAAAGTTGGTAAGTGCTTTTGCTGCTGCCGCCATCATTACGTTACTTGTTTCACTACAATGGGTTAAAGCGAAGCCCTTTGAGTAGGTATAGAAAATTAGTTCTGAGGCATCGCGATTGGCTTTTTCGTCCTGTGTAATTTTATAGTCTAATTTTGATGACATCGACTTTGAACGGTTTTTATAGTTGATATCCAATAAGGATATTATAATTTGCACTAATTTTTAGCAACATTTAAAAATCCTTGATTATGAAAATTGACAACCGATTATATATTTTTTAACTTCATTTGAGACATAACTATAAAAATTGAAATCCTCTCGTTTTTCTATCCCAACTTAAATAAAATCGTCAAAAATTTCAAGTCTTCCAGCCTATCCCCACCCCTCCGAATTTCGGACCCGAGCGAGCACTATTCAATGTTTAAACAATTTTTTGTGCGTGATGCACACTTGTAATGTAATTTGTGAAAGCAGATTCAAAAAGATCTTGTAAAAACCTATTCACTGGTATGTATTTGAGTGTTGTCATTAACCATTGAGTTAGTTTTCGACGTTTGAACAGTGAACAAGTGATTCGTTCGCTATCTTATCGTGAATAAAATTGATATTAAAGGATGTCATCCTTGGCGAGTGTTGTCCGGCGACCGTGCCAAGGTCGTTTAAGTTATCGCGAGATATTTAAAAAAACACTGATAAAGGGAATGTATTTTATTAGTCCCCAGCAATGCAACAAGCCAAATATTATTAGAAAAGTATCAACGTACCCAAAATGAGGAAATTTTATACAAGAGGCCGAATAGGCCGAATGTAGAAAAGCCTAAAAAAATTCAAGCACCGCCGCCTATCATAGTGGACAATATTATAAATTTTTATGAACTCCCTTCCTGGTGCCCAGATTAAAGTAATTTATTAAAAAAATATCAAAATTAATGTACAGGATGAGACCAACTATAAAATGCTTACTGCAACGCTAACTGAAAAAAGATACTCTTGGCATTCCTATGAGAATAAGCAGAATAGGCCAATTAAAGTTATGGCCAAAAAACTGTATAATTTCATTGATCCAGAAAAAATACTGCATGAAGTTAGAAAACGCGGCTACAAACTAATCGAAGTCACTCCTAAATTAAAATATAAAACAAAACAACCTCTAAACATGTTCATGCTTTCATTCAGGAACGACGAGAGTATTGACAAAATTTACGGAATAACTGACATATTAGGGGTCAGAGTTGAAATTACTCCATTAATAAAGTCCAGGCTTGTACCACTGTGCAAAAAATGCCAAGCTTATGGACATCCACAAAAATACTGTGCCATGGAGCCACGCTGCGTCAGATGTACTGGTAAGCACCTAACAATGGAGTGTGAAAAACCAAAGAATGAAAAACCCAAATGTGTTCATTGTGGTGAAGGGCATCCAGCCAACTACAGAGGATGCATGGTTGCAAGAGAAATGCAAAAATTAAATGAAAAACGCAACAAGAAACCAGTTCCTCCTCAGCAGCCACAGAGGAATAACTTACGAGTGCAGAAAGGCAACATAAGTGCAAGACAAAACACCTACAGTCAAGCAGTTACTGGTAAGCCTGAATTGATTATTAGTACAAATCAAACACAAAAACAAGATCAAAACGTTTCCATCCAAAACTCTCTTTAACGAATAATGGAGAAATTAATAAAAATGGATGAACGGATTAGCAGACTTGAATATAGGGCCAAAGGACCTATCTCAAATAATTTTTAATACTAACTAGCCTCAGGATTATAGAGTGCAATGCCAATGGACTCTTGCAACACAAACAAGAATTGCAAGCAGTCCTGGACATAGAAAAAATAGAC